ATTAATGAATAAATAAGTAAGAGAGAAACAGGGAAGCAGATGGGATGGAATGAATGAACGAATGAGGGAGAAAGCAGAACAGTGGAGAAGAAAATGAAGAAATGGAAGAGACCGAGAGAATGCTGCAGGCGGTTGCTTAATGAGAGAAACTTTTGACGGGGATAGGGAGATAGTCTCTGCTCAAATCATCAAGCTTTCCCGAGCTTTTCCCAACATTTGATATTTTGCCGATTTGCTTCTCCTTCCCTTCCCTTCTACCTCATTCTCCTCTACCTCTCAAGACCTGAAGATGCATACTTTTGCCTCATTTTTTTATTAAACCTAATTTGTGGATCGTATTTTTTTTCACTACGATATAATAGTGTTTGTTATCCAATGTATACGTTAGCAGGGAGAGAAAAAGAACATGAGGCAGCTGACTGGGATAAGATCAATAGGGAGAAAAAGGTAGAATAGAGGACATTTTATAAACACAGAACAAACAGACATAAATGGATTAAAGAGAAACAAATACTTGGTTTTCGATCCTATAAATGCCATTTCCGAAGCCTGACATTTTTCATGGAACGTCTGGATGAGGAATACGCTTAGAATAAGTAATAGGTGTTAGACAAAATTTTTTGTATTTCTTAGATGATGCCGGCACGTGTTCATAAGTTACTAATAAAAAACAACTACACAATTTGCTGGATTCTCAGGTACTTTAGATATTTATCTAATATAGGTTGACAGATTTGGAGATGCTATACATAGATAATGAGGTGACGATTTTTTCCTGCGAACAATTCCGAACATATAATGCAGTAACCGCCAACCGCCACCATCAACACATGACACATGACACATGTTTCCCCTCGGCCAGTCAGCTCCTCGTCCAGCGTCGAAAGGGGAAACTCGTTCATCTTCTCAGGGTGAGTTAATGTACTTTCATCCATATAGGGGAATGGAAATGCGCTGTACGGATACATTTAGTAATCGATTCTTTAAATGATCATGAAAAAAGAAAAGTGCAGTGTCAGCAGAATTAGACAGGGAAGTGCAAGGAAGGGTGAGTGAATGGACGGTGTATTGGCGTTAAAGGGCGTCTTAAGGAAAAAAATCGGAGTCAGTGCGAGCGGATGGGATGTTAAAAGAGGAGGATAAGAATGCGCTGTTTTATTTATCGCAATACCTCTCATCGTATAGTGACTGAAGGATCTTCATTCCTGGTGCATACTCGTCTGAAATGTGACAACTATAATTCCACGATAACGTACGAGATATAACACATGACAATTGTTAACAAGGAAAACATAAACCAGAGATGAAGTAAGGAAAGAAGAAAAGAAATACAAATAATCTATCAAATCGACGTCATTCACGGCTGCCATTAACTAGTGTGAGTTTGAGAAGAGAAGGTCGAGCCGGTGGGATGTAAGACACCCCATCCCTTCTTTTGTCCTTGTTCTCTCTCGTACCCTTTTCCTTTCCTTTCCTTATCTTTCCTCATATCCCTTGTAGGTCCTTTTCTTTTTTTCAGTTTCCATTCATCCTTCATCCTGATTATTTTTATTTCTTGTTGTCTGTAAAATTGTTTGTCGTCCACTGGACGTAATAAATTGATCAAATCAAATCCCTCATTCACTCCTTTTATTCTGTGTCTTCCCTTTTTACCGTGGATATGTTTTCTTCTTGTTGCCGTACATTCGTCGTCTCCTCCTCTGTCTCCCTTTGTTATTCCATGAACAGTGTTCCTTCAGATGTAGAAAGAAGTATAATAGTTAATATCCACAGCGAAAGAGAGGTATTTGACCGGATTCGACTATATCCTCGTATTCCTGACGATGTAGTTGAAACCGGCCAGATACATTTCTTACGCTGAGAACATGTATATTCCATCTTCCTGCTAGTATCTTTATTTCTTTTCCCAAAACCACTCACCTCTTTCTATTTCTCCTTTTTCACTTGTCATTTCCCTATCTCTTCACCTTTGTCTCGTCCACTTTTTTTCACTTTTCTCCTTAGCTCTTTACCTTTTTATTTCTTCTCCTCCCGCCTTCTTCATCTTCCACTCTTCCCTTCCATTCCACTTCTACTTCATCACCCTTCTCCCTTCTTCAGATGCAAGCGACCATGATTATTCTTCAGACAACTAATTCCCCCAACTCTCTTATTTTCAAATAGTTTACATGTCGAACAGCGCATCAGAAAGTTATGCCGTGAGATAACTTGACCTGCATGTTCTGTACATACACGCGTCCACTGAAATATTCACATGACTTGGAAATTTGTATGGATGTATTTACTGATGTTTTAATACCATTGCACAATATAGGGAGAAATAAGTAAATAACTAAACCCAGAATATACAGATTACGTTTTTGTTCATGCATAATGGATACGTTTTGGGTAATGCGCAGCGGTGTGCTTGCGCACGACTCAACCTAACCGTCTATATACAGTCTCTTCCGTATAAAAAACAAATTAATTCTCTCTATTTTCACATTGCAAAACATGTCTGGCATATGAGACAGTCATAGATGAAGAAAAAATGGGTGGGGCGTTAGTCAAAATCGGAAATGTTATGATTTTTTTAACAAGATAACTAAGGAAAATCTGATAGAGAAAGGGAAAGATATATATATATACATATATATGTATATATATATATATATATATATATATATATATATATATATATATATATAGAGAGAGAGAGAGAGAGAGAGAGAGAGAGAGAGAGAGAGAGAGGATGGGTTCGAGAGAAGGGATAGGCAGAGAAAGGACGAGAGCATAGCACATATAGGAAGCCATTTTGTATAATGTTAAAAAGACATGCTTTAAATCTTCAAATATGTGGCTGGAGAATATCATATTTTCCGTTTGTAGTGCCAAATCACGCCAGGGACCCATAAGGATGCATCGGGCCAATGAACCACGTGGTACTTCCCGCGAAGTAAACTCTCCTGACTCCGAGGAGGTCAGGACAGTTCCGCTTTCGCTGTGTGCAGATGTCTCCCGTCGGCTACAATACATCATCTCAGGCCAGCCAGAATTCGAGCTCAATCTCAGACGTGTCCTTTCGGCTATGGTCCCATCTGGGTTGAAGTAGCAAGAGAACGAGCTCTATCTTCGCGGCCTACAGACGTCTCTCCCTTCGTCCGGCTGCGTCAGGCTGGCAAGAGAAGACATCATCTCCTTACCTCTTCAGCCTCGCCTCAGGATGGGCATCGCTCTAGCGCCATTCTCCAAGGACACATTAGCCCCCCTACCCCCAACTCCTTTTCAATAAAGGCTCGAAATGAGCGCTGATTTGCCATAGTTATCGACCAGATAAAGATGAGAGAGAGAGAGAGAGAGAGAGTGAATGAGTGAGAGAGAGAGAGAGAGAGAGAGAGAGAGAGAGAGAGAGAGAGAGAGAGAGAGAGAGAGAGAGAGAGAGAGAGAGAGAGAGAGAGAGAGTGAGAGAGAGATAGAGAAAGAGAGTGAGAGAGAGTGAGTGAGTGAGTGAGTGAGTGAGTGAGTGAGTGAGTGAGTGAGTGAGAGAGAGAGAGAGAGAGAGGGAGAGAGAGAGAGAGAGAGAGAGAGAGAGAGAGAGAGAGAGAGAGAGAGAGAGAGAGAGAGATTTTACATGTTATCTGCTTAAGCTTAAGTCCGTTACATACGTCGCAAATGTCATGTCATCACAGGCTGGTTGCATGTCACTCAGGCTGTCATTTTTACCTTTTTACCAATCTTCTTTATTACATGTTAATAAAACTTGTCAACGGCCTATGTAACCGTGACCTCTGAAGTGTGACGATAAACTCTTCTCTTACTGCACTTATGCGTTTACTATGTGCAGATTCCCGAGCTAGTCGGAAAATTATTACTATGTATATAAAAAAAATACCTGTATTAAAAAAAAAAAGCGGTGATACGTATTTTGGCGAAAAATTATCAGCTGATTATTCTTAAGGCCCGTCATAAACCACAGAAAATATTGCTTATCTAACTTTACTACTTCATGTTCACCATCTTATCCATTTTTACATCAACATTTACAGGAAGTCTTAGCTTTCACTCCCTTCCACTTGCGGCTTTGCTTTCACTTCCTTCCACTTGCGGCGTACGTGGGGCGAGAGCTAGTTCTACACACAGAAACACGCACACACACACACATTTTAACAAGCTGTTGGCGATGAGGCTGGAGGTAAACGCAATGAAATGCCGTCAGTCATTTTTGCATTGCCGAGCTTTTTTTTCAAATGTGGTAGTTCGGTTTCACGTTTCCATTAACTGGGATAGTTTCCCTAAGATTTGTTTGTGGTGTCACGTGTTATGTACACACCACATGGATATGGCACTCATCCTCATACTGAACAATTGTTTCAACAGTCTTAATGGATTGTCCCTTACATGCAAAGTATTCGTCTTTATGCCACAATTCCATTTATATACCTATGTCTAGCATATACTAATATGTACTTTCAATTGTTTCTATTTCCCTTGGGACATAAGCAATTACGTTGTACACCTCCCTATTCTGAAATAATACCCCATGTGAAAGAATCTCCTTGCACAAATTACAGTTGAGTTGACCATTCGTCAGAGGTTACAGGAGGAAAGGTGTAAACATCTGATTGCTGTAACAAAATATTGAATATTTTAATAACACGTAGGTGTGAAGAGAAGGGAAGAGAAAAAGAGAGACGATAAGATAGGATATGATATGTATATGAATACCGATCCCTTGGTTGGTGAGATATGAGGTCAGACAAGACAGAAGACAGACTAGAACATAAAACAAAGGATGATTCGTAAACCGCGCGCTGGGGGCAAAGTTTGTTGATACTGTACGTGACTCATGTTGTTTCCAGCGAGCACCCCGCCTAGGAACAAAGGTACTGCGAACACTGCCCCTGCTTATAGTATAATGGCTTGATAATGGTATTTTCAGATTGATATACTTAATTGCAGGTTATATTTCAGTATGCACTCTTGGCGATACTGAAAGTTAAGTGTCTAATTAGATACGTAGT